TGCCGAGCCCTCCAGCGCGCACCGCCGGCCCGGCAGTGCAGTCGGTGCCCCCCGCCCCCGCCCTAGTGCACAGCGGCAACGGGGCGGCCGGTGTCTGTCTGTCGCCCGAGCCGGAGCGCGGAGTAGTCCCGCAGCAGAGGGTCGTTTCTTTTGCAAGACGTAGTACCGCCGCTATCGCCGCTCGCCGTCGCCGTGCCGACTATTGACACGACGAAACAGGACCACGCAGCCAGACAAGCCAGACAAGGCAGACGCTTTGGCTTTGACACTCAAAAGATGCTGTTGTTTGTAAGAAATTTGTCGATAAGAATTCAGTGTTCCAGATTAGAGGAAGATATTTGGTGGTGAGTTTATCTGGTAAGTACGAAAGATGAACTAATCTTGTGGTAGATTAGCTGTAATTGTTATTTCATTTAACTACTACCTTGGTGTCATAAAACTGTCATAGAAGCGTGCAAAGGGGACGGGGCTTTGGTCTCAAGAAAAAACGCAAATGGTGGTTGTGGGTACCGAAGCTTGTTTAGTCCTTGTTCTAAAATGTGAGGGCTCTAAAGAGTAACATCATGTCTTTAAAAATTCATATATACAAACTGAATCAACAGATACATAAACAGCTCACATCATTAGTTCAAGAGTCAACATTATATCTTTAAAAATTCATATAGACAAACTGAATCAACAGATATATAATCAGATCACATCTCTAGTTAAAGAGTCACATCATATCTTTGAAAATTCATGAACACAATATGAATTAACAGATACGTATACATATCATGTCTCTAGTTAAAAGAGTCGCATCATATTTTTAAAAAATTCATATATACAAACTGAATCAACAGATACAATAAATATAAATAATAGAGTGAACATAAAACAATGTACAAGATTATTATAGTAGTATGTTATGCTTATCTCTTAATTTTGTTGACGGCTTTCCATGAGTGAAAATGGGTCGAGAAACAAATTGTACTGAAGGTTTTGTTGCTGGTTGATTGAAAGTTGTTGTGCGAACTACTTCACTAAATGGTGTGTCAGGGTCCAGTTCGATTTCATGATCATTATTAAGGGAACTTTCATTAAAGGGAACACAAGGACTAGCACAGCTATTATTATCAATACTTGAAGAGGTTGAAGCTAACAAATTCCTCTTGATATCAGCCTTCTCTTGAAACTTTGGAGTTTTGCTTTTTTCATAACTTAGTTGTTTTTTTGATAGTTTCTTCTTTGTAAAGGGTTTTAATTGTCGTTTCAATTTTTCTCGGGATGTGTGTTTCACAGTTGCTGTCATTCCTGGCATACTTTTGTCGCTCACATCCTGATCCACAACTGAACGGCACTCAGCTAACATTGCTTTAATATTACCTCTCAAGTAAGGATATAAAGTTTTTTTAACTGAATCATTCTTAATATGATTTGAAAGTTCCTCTAAAGACTTCAAAAGATCTTCCTCTTCTTTGTCTTGCCTAGTGTTTTCATTATTTTCGTTATTGGAATTACCATTATTCTCTTCTATGTAGTGAAATTCAACAACTGCAGATTCCGTTTGTTTTGAAGTATCAGGTTGTGTGTTTTCAGAAAATTTCGAATGCACCTTGTGAATGTGCTTACACAGAAGAATTTCATCAGGGCATGTGCACATGTACATATGAGCACAAAGATTGTCATAGCAGTCTGTTGCATGACACTGAAAAAAACACATACCAGGTTGTGTGCATGTGTCTGATTTTTTAAAAACTTTATACTCCATATCTGTTATGGACTGAGATTTAATGATCCAATACTTTGAACCATTTTCATCATATTCCTGGACGGCATCACATGGAATATTTACACCTCTCAGATGCCGTTCAGAAATATATTGAAAATACTGTTCTCTTGGTGCAACAGTATTTATGGTTGTCTGCCTTCTGGTGTAGTAATCCTCTTCAACCTCCAAAAGTAGATTCACAAGTGTTTCAATCCTCTTGTTAGGTTTTCTCTTTAAGTATATTGTTTTTAAAATATTATGAAAAGATTCCACATACATAGTAGTCTCAACGTTTCCATGTGGAAACCTTCTGTAACACTTGGCCCATTTCATTTTCTTTGGAACACAAGTTGCTTTGAAATAAGATATAAATAATTTAGTCATTTTAAAATTTCCATATTTTTTTGTAAAAGTATCTAACGCAAGGTTAAACTCTGATTCTTGGGTCAGATCTATTACTACACAGAGCTCCTTAAACATCTGATCTTCAAGCTCTGTGTTTTTAACTTTTGTATGTAATTGGCCCTGAATGGTCCTCTTGAAGTGCCAATCACACAAAATATGTCTAATTAGTTCTTGAAAGCCCATATTCATGGAGTTGATCAATGCAGGGTCATCGTCAGTAATGACACAATTAATCTCTAAATCAGGCAACCTTAGTTTCAATGCCTCAAAAAAGTACTGCAAATAATCCTCTTTCATACTACTACTAATTAAATGTGCAAGAGGATATCCTCTGTTCAGCTCATCAACTCCTACAACATTTAAAAGCTGGTGACCATACTGGTCCATGTCATGGGTGGCGTCAACAATCAGTATAGTGCTACTTGCCATTCTCATCATTTCTGCTTGTTCTTCTGTTTGCAGACCCAGCATGAACACATCTTTAGGAAGATTTTTGGCTGACTCCGGTCCATACTTCTGCTCATAACCTTTAGGTTTGTATATTAATACTGGATTATAATTCTCTTCTCTTAATGTCTCAACTCTCATTCGTACAGCATCAGAATCATTTGAATGTAAACTTTTTTCTGCAGCCATTTTTCTCTTACGTTCTCGTAGTGCTTTTATAGTGATGAAGTCATTTCTTGTCAGTTTCATGTCTTGTCTTTTTCTGTTTTCCCTTGAAAACTTGTCCCCTCTCAAAGTTTTAACAATCTTTCTGGGTGAAGCACCATATGCCAAGTGCTTGTTTATGTACGAATTTGTTGCCTCAGTGAGAGGCTGATGCTTCAGATCAGCCTCATACTGGACATGGTTATGTGTGGGAAAATACTGCACCTCCACACCTGTCTTGGTTTCTAAAACTTTCATCATAGCTATGCAGTTGAATCCTGTCTTCATTCTGCCTTTTTTGTTGCAGCTCCTCTTCCTCCGTTTGAATGCTGGTCCGTCATCTTGTGATGAATCTTCATCTTCAGAATTCTCTCCTTCCACAAGATCACTGGAACTTTTTGAATTTATTTTGGCACGTCTTGGACCATCCTGCTGGCAGTAAAAATAAGAATGGCCATCTTTTTTTCCATACTGCTCTGAAAAGTAGCTGTACTGTTGTTTCTCTTCTTCATCCTTCCAGTTTATGAAATGTGCCCAGTTATCAAATTTAAAATTTTGTTGGGGTAGTATTTTAGCTTCGCCAGAGTGTGAATCCTGAAAAACAGGTATCTAAATTAAATTACTCAAATTTTAAATACACTTTTGTTTTTACTAATCCTATGATCTATCATTACTCACCTTAAGATGTTGAATTAAGTCAGTTTTATGCCAACTTTTGAAACTGCATTCATTAAATAAGCACAAGTGCCGAGGCTTTGTCTTTTTGTTTAAAGTAGCTGAACATCTATTTAGAGAAACATGCTTCTTGAGACTGTCTTTCCTTGTGAATTGCATGTTGCATTTTTCACAGGGAAATTTTGGTAACTTTGATGGGTTGTTAGAACAAGTTGCTTTGTGCTTCACCAACAGTTTCTTTGTTTTCAAATTCTTTGTACAAAAAGGGCAGCAGATGCCATTGTTGCTATTATCAGGATATATCTTTCGGCGCACAGTTAGGGTACCTGATATTTAAAAAACACGATTTTATTCTTGGAAATATGCTGTGATGTAAAACTTTGAATAACACAAAGTAATTTATTTTCTTACCAGTTCTCTTTGGTTGAAAATCGTCATCAAACAATGGGGATGAAGGTGAAGCGCGGGACTTTTCCCCAAGCCTGACCTCATCATTATAAAATTCACCTGACATATTCATTCCCTCTTCCATTTCAATAAAATCGCGCGGAGAGTATAGCGCTGTCAAGGTGTGCCGCGATTACCTGGCTCAGGTGGGCGTACGGTAGCGCTCAGGTAACAGGTGTATCGCCGCGGCCGCCCGGCACGAACAGGTGTAGCAAGAGCTTTGCTCTGTGACGTATAGAGTGCGCCATCGGCGGGAGCGGCCACGGCCGCGATCTGCACATAGTCGGCGGGACCCTCCATCTCCTGCCCCCACCACCGCCAAGCAAGGGATCCGCCAACCCTGTCCGATGTCAGACTCTGACCCTCCTCCACTCAAGTTGTTCTCTTTCTTAGAAGGCGTGTGCTCGATTCTTCCATGCATCGTCGAAAGATCGGCTCCTGTTACCAGTCCCCTAACAGATGTACGTCTCCTGACCAGACAGCAGAGAACAGTTGAGGGTTCATGCGACAACGATGAGTATTTTCTTCTTCTTCTTGTTGGTCTTCACTTACCGCTTCACTGTTGTAAACACACACAAACTTAGCCTGTAAAAGCATGTGCTGACACATTCGACGTGAAACTGAAAGTGTGTCGCTCTACGTTGTACCAATTTGTTTCGTCCCTCTATCAACATGTCGCGTCTAATTGTAAAAGGACTTCCCAGTAACGTAAGTACCTACCGATGAAATTTTTACTTCTTGTGCTGTCTGATGTTTTATTTTAAGATCTTAAAACCTAACCTGCAGTTTGAATTTACCTAGGGTCAGAAGGAGTTTTTTTCCTTCCTGAATCTCTTATTGTCCGCTGTTTTCGTAAAGATGTTGCCACTCTTTTTCTAGATTTCTGAAGAAAGCCTTCGTTCAAAATTTTCCGAGAAAGGTCTTGTTACCGATGTCCAGCTGAAGTATAAAAATGGAGTGTTTCGTCGATTTGGATTTGTGGGATTTAAGAAAGAAGATGATGCCAAAGCAGCTCTTGAATTCTTCAATAATACATGCATTGGGTCATCAAGAATTCAAGTTGAAGTTTGTGCAGATCTAGGTAGTTTTTCAAACTATTCTTTGTTGTTACTTGTGATGTTGCAGAAACAGTAACTAATTTTCTACTCTTTAGGCTCATCTGACAAACCTAGGGCTTGGAGTAAATATGCAAAAGGTACCACTGCGTACCTTAAGCTACATCCAGATGAAGCTCCTAAGGAACAAGAACCACAGCCTGAAAAAAAATCATCAAAGGATAAGGGCAAAAAGAGTGGAATTCAAGATCCGAAAGTCACGGAGCTTTTGGAAAAAGTATGTATCCATCTAATCTATCCATCACTTTTATCACCACAATTTATTAAAGAGTATTATTGTGTATTACTGTTAATATATTCATTCTGTAGGAGTATAAAATTACTTATATGCTTCTGTGTCAAATTTGGATTTACAGTACAAGGATGACCCTCAATTTATCGAGTATATGGAAATGCATTTGGGGAAAAATGCTATGTGGAGTAATGATGTTCTTGGTGGTACAGGAGATGGGCCAGCAGTTACTGAAAAGACGATGGAGGAACTCCAAAATAAAACCATCAGTACTATTCCTGAGGAAGATTTAGCTTCGGCAAAAATATCTGATTTTGAGGTATGCTAGCTGTTTTTAAACCTTATCATATTGACTTCAATTATAATCTACACTTAACTTATATACTCTGATCTCTTACAGTATCTTCGAAGAAAAATGGTCAAAAGTAAGAAGAAAATAGATGCTGAGGAGAAAGAGGTCTCTTCTGAGAAATCAGACCCTGGCAGTAAACTTGTCAAAGTTGAGAAGAAACACACATTCTATTATGTGAAATTACGTGGTCTCCCTTACAAAGCCAAGAAAAAGCAGATTAAGGAGTTTTTCAATCCTCTTAAGCCAAAGTCAATACGTATTCCAACAAAGATTAAAGGCATTGCGTATATAGGTTTTGGAACGGAAAAAGACTGCAAGCAAGCCCTTATTAAGAATCGGAGTTTCATGCGTAAGTTGTTCCTTCCTTCCTAACTTCATTTGACCATAAAAACCTCACCATTTTTTTTTTTTAAGAATTTATCAACATAATATTTGTAATTTGTTTTTTCAGAGGGAAAGAGAATCATCATAATGCCCTATGATGAGAACAAAACTAACATAGAGACTGAATCTAAGAATGAAGAAGACAAATTCAAACAGCAAGAAGAAAGCTTGAATAATGAAGAAACAATTGCTGAGTCTGGAAGAATTTTTGTGCGAAATTTACCTTACACTGTTACAGAGGAAGAAATTCAAGAGCTATTTTCTAAGTTTGGTAAGACACTAATTGTTTGAAAATGTTCTTTCAAAATTTGCTCTGCAGTTTATTTACACCAATTGTTTCTTATAGGTGAACTAAGCGAAATTCTTTTACCAATTGACCAACGTACAAGGAAAGTGAAAGGGTTTTCCATTGTAACCTTCTTACTTCCTGAGCACGCTGTACGAGCATATTCGGAACTTGATGGTAAAGTGTTTGAGGGCAGAATGTTGCATCTATTACCTGCCAAAAGCAAGCCATCTATTGATGAATTACTTGAACAAGGTAATGTCTTTTCTTTTTTATTTGTATGGCTTGCAAGCATAGATATGGAAATTAATTCTTAAATTTTAGAGGGATTGGACTTTAAAAAGAAGAAAGCTTTGCTTTTGAAGAAAATGGCTACCTCCTCACATAATTGGAACACACTGTTTTTGGGACAAAATGCTGTGACGGATCTTATTGCTGCTACATACAACACTACTAAAGAACAGGTAAGACAGCTGAAACAAATCTTAAATCTTAACCCAAAATGTTTATGAGTAATTTGTAATACTTGAAACTAGTTCACTAATAAAGTACAACACAAGTGCACTGACATCAAATATTGCTTTTTCAAATTTGCTACATTTTAGGTGCTGGATGATAGTGGCAAGGGAAGTGTGGCTGTCAGATTGGCTTTAGGAGAAACTCAGATTGTATCAGAAACAAAAAAGTTTCTCCTCGACAATGGAGTTCAACTGGATGCATTTAATAAGGTAAAACTATGTCTGTTCAAAAAATTAAAAATAGGAAGTTTGTTACACTTTTACTTACAACAAAGGATTTGTTTCAGCCTTCATCCCAGAGATCTAAAAAAGTTATTCTTATAAAAAATTTGCCTGCCAAAACTAGTGCACCTGAAATTCGTGAACTATTTGAACCTCATGGTGTCCTTGGAAGGGTTATTTTGCCACCTAGCGGTGTTACAGGTACGTGAAGGAAAGATTGATGTACAGATAAACATGCAATGTTGTTTCAGTAAATCAAATCAAATAATTTCTGATTGCAGCTGTTGTGGAGTTTATGGATAAAATAGAAGCCAAGAGAGCATTTTTAAAATTGGCTTATACAAAGTTTAAAAATCTCCCTCTTTACCTTGAGTGGGCACCAGAGGGAGCGTTAATAGAGTCAGAGCAAACTGCTTCTAGAGGTCCTTCTTTTATTCTTAATTTTCTTTTTGTCCTTCTCCTAAATTTCTGACTTACGCATACATTTTATTTCTAGATCTGTCTCAACTTGAGAACAACAAAAATGAAGAGAGAAAGGAAGTAGGTAGCGGTCAAATAGAAGAGGAATTAGAAGTGGAACCTGAAACTACCCTGTATCTTAAAAATCTTAGCTTTAATTCTACTGAAAAAAATATCAGAGAAGTAAGTATCTATTCTGTATTTAGTGTAAGTAAGGTAGTCTGTGATATTCTGTTCTAATGCTACATTTCTTTCCAAAGCATTTTGAAAAGTATGGAACTATTGCGAATATAATGGTTGCAACCAAACCCAATCCAAAAGTTCCAGGTGAACGCCTTTCACAAGGTTTCGGTTTTATTCAGTTTCATAAGAAGAGTAGTGCAGATAATGCCTTGAAGTATCTCCAAAATTCCGATCTTAATGGTCACAAAATAGAAATCAAGAGATCTCATAGAACATTGAAGTATGTACTGTTGACCACTCTCCATATACATGTGTTTATTTATTTATTTTTCCTTCTTGATCCCTTCAAATTTGTCATTTCTACAAAAGATACTGTTGAGTTCCTACAATGTGTACCCAATTTTTCAGATCTGACGTCAATCCAAGGAAGTCAGTGAATCAGGCTAAACCAACAGGCACCAAAATTCTTGTCAGAAATATTCCTTTCCAAGCAACAAAAGAAGAAGTAATGGAATTGTTCAAGTAAGAAGGCAGCTCTGTTTAATAGCATTGCTTGTATAATATTTTTTCTACTTTATTATTATATTTCCCATATGCTATCTCCTCTTTGTAAAAACAAATGTTTTAACATCAATATTTATTAATCTCTTTGTTGCAGGGTGTTTGGAGAAATTAAAACACTTCGACTACCTAAAAAGATGGTAGGAACAGGTTCCCACAGGGGATTTGCGTTTGTTGATTTTCAGTCCAAAAATGATGCCAAGGTAAGACTCTACTTATATTTCCTAGAAAGATAAAGTAATGTACCAGAATGTTTAGCGTTATCTTATTCTGCGTTACCACTCTGTTCCTACATTACAGAATGCCATGGAATCTCTCTCCCAGAGTACTCATTTGTATGGACGCCGCCTTGTGTTAGAGTGGGCTGCATCTGATGAGGATGATGTTGACGCCTTACGTAAACGTACAGCTGACCGTTTTGCGTCTGATGAACCCTATGCCAAAACCTTTAGGAAAGGTGTGTTTGACATGAAATCAGCTTCTAAAACAAAAGCTGATGATGACGATAGTGATTAAAGTGGTATGTATTGAATTAAACCTTGTATATTGAGCAGAGCATTTCCTCTGGAACTACCATTGGCTGGAATCGCAGCATAACTACACCATACCTTATTAGGAAAACATGAAATCTTTATTTATGTTAAACTTTATTCTTCTTCTTTAATACCACATCCACCCATCCACCCCACCAAAAGAAAAGAAAAGAAGAATAAGAAGGTAGATCTACAGAATAAATTATACAGAAACGTTTAACAC